CGAAAAGAAAAGCAAAAGGATTGCAGATCTGGAAAAGGTACAATCCTATCACAATTCCTAACCAAACACAATGAGATCTATTGGATGGGAATCGAAATAATTTAATTTTTCGCTGTGCATGTATAAGTAGATTCCCAACAGTATGTTTGCATTACTCTTATATATAACTAATAATTCACATAAAAATGACTGTTAATAATATATTAAATGTGCATGAGAGTGTCTATACTTGTTAATTTGTTTTTTAAAATTTTCATGGTTGAAAAGAAAAGATTCTGTTTTCATGAATAATTCCTAAACTTGAAATCTTGATTAACAATTGTTGATATAAGTATTAGTTACATTTTAAATAAGTGTTATACTCAAAACAATCTATGCTGAACGTAACAATTTAGTAGTAATTGTAAAAAAGATAAGTCTTGGTATACATAAAATATGTACATAAGGATATCTATGCTCCTCACATGGGGTGGGTCACATGGGATGAGGTCCACCTCGTGCGGGTCCCATCCCATGTGAGAGGTGTGGATACTCTTATGTACCCAAATTAAATACACATCAAGTCTGTTCGGTAGTGATTATAAAAATTGATTTTTTGACCGTTAGATAAAAAATAAGTCCCATCCGTGAGTAAGTCAAAAATGACGATTGAAACGATGAAATAACGATATAAAAAATTAATTTCTTGAGATAAAAGATTGCTATCAAACGGAGCTAAATTTACATCCTGTATCCCAAATCCCAAAAAAAATCAGTTTCATGTTTATAGCTATTGTCGATTATAGGAAGTAATCCCAATTCTAACTTTATTTTTATCCTTGACTCCCGAAAATTTCATTTAAGACCAAAGTCAATAATTTTTTCACCTTGAAAAACGTAAAATATCAAAGTTTGGTATACATTTATTGCCTAGTTAATGATCATAAATCCAAACAACATATTTTGGACGACGTTTCAACTTTCAAGATCTTCCTTATATTTTTGTGATTATATATAGCATTATAGAAATTGCTAATTATTTTTATTATATTTAGGCGA